GATTCTGGCTGAAAGAAAGTTCCCCTTTACAACGAATATGTCCCCATGCTATCTTCACCTTTTCAAGCAACACTTCATCTTCCCCTTTACCAAAATAAACGGTATCCATCACCTCCCGCTCATCGGGTCTATCTAACATCGTGAATCCTAATTGACAGCGTGCCAGGATAGGGTTATAATTAATGCACCCCCTTATCCCCATAAGCAGGACATTAGGGAATTCTCCACACCCTATAATGATCTCTTTCAAACTTATCACACTTTGCCAAACAATATCATACGAGGTAAGTCCCATGATACGCTGAGACCATAAAGATGAATCGACAGCCTGAACAAAAGGTCCCTTTGTAGGCATATGCATCATCAACCATTTTTAAAGCACGATCGCGCAACACATGAATTCCCCTTTCTTCCCATGTCGGGAATGGATGGTGTAATAAGTGTCGGCGAGTAGAGTTGGTACGGGGTTACCGTTCATAAAGACATACAATGTGGATAGATGCACTAACTTCTCAGATACTGGAAAGAGGACCAAACCATAAATCATTGTTGCCAGTGCATTAAACGCGATCCAATTCATGTCCTTTGCAAAACCTTTGGCCTTTGATATCAAGTAATTCAGAGGGAGACCGCTTGTGTCGCTTTTGTTATCCAATTACTTTTAACTTCACCATGAGTCAAATAAAGATATCTGGTGATCACCATATAGTTTGGAATCTCTAGTGCTCGAACAAAAGGAATACTGTTGGTCACTTTTACATCCATAATATGCGCGTACTCTTCGAGAGTTGTTGCCAATTGATAGTCCCGGAAAGTAAGACAACGTAGCTGTGGATCACAGAACTGAAGAAGTGTTCTCACGCCCCATTCTTCAAAATCACCATTCACCAACGACAATAAGTTTCCATATTGTCCTCTGAAAAAAATTTCATTTGGTCCTTTCACAAGAGCTCCCACATCTCGCAATCGACCACCAAACATGGGAATTGATAGGCAACAGTGTTTCTAAGAGGCTTTGAACTTGTCTTCATGTTGTTATCCATATTTGATGCTGATGACAGACCTCAGAATAATCCTGGAAATGAAATGCAAATGCAGGTTAGGCAGTTATATATTTTTTTGCTTTTTTTGCATTTCTTTTATAAAATAAATATGCCATGATGCAAGTGCAATAATCATAAGATCAAAGTTTCTGCATGCTGGATAGTTGCTGAACTGATAACAGAACCACTGTCATATGTAACAAGATCAAAGGTCCGGACCAAAACAGAATACCAAGGATCAAAGTTATCAGTATAATCAGAGTCACCAACAGAACATGTATAGTCACCATTTATACCTGTAAAGATTATTCCCTCCTCACTCCTGAAAAACTATTGCCATATCACCTAGTGAAAATGATAGCCCCTCATTTGTACATCATCTGAGCGTAGACGACATGGCGGCATAGTGAAACCTAAGTCAACTAGCCGTTCATGTTCCACTCTATTCCTAGTGTTCCTGTGGTTTCCACTTGGCCTGGGTATTGGGCCTTTTACCTCATAGTAACATCCCACCCATCAAGAAACAGAGAAGCCAACAAAATAACAATATAAAAAATAACAGATGCAATGCAAACATATGCTTAAACATATACAAATGAATAATCCATAAAAGCATAATGGTAAACACCCTAAGAAAAGAAAAAACGGGAGCTAGGATTGACTCACGGGATGGACCAGCAATTGGTCGACAGGTTATCCCCAGTGAAGTCGCCATTTTTCTGTAGCGGTAAAATCAATGAAGTCGCCACCGAGTATTTATTTATACCATATGAAAGGGAAAGTAAAATCATCGAATAAAAACCTAAAAGGGGAATCAAGGTCTTGCGACCGAGAGATTGGGTAAGGGAGTCGATTACGTGAGGGGAAGGTATTAGCACCCCACACATCCATAGTACTCTACGGGATCCACTCTCGTCATTCTAATCAAAGTGTGTGTTCAATCTAATGCTTAAGGGTTATAAACTAAGAGATAATGCATGAAAATAAAAGAGAAAGAGTGTAGGAAAAATAAAGTTGTACTCGCTTGGGCCCTACCTCAATGCCTACGTATCCTTTTTGAGGAATCAGAGCTACCGTAGTTCGGCTCATATATTTTGTTTGTTTGTATTTTTTAAATGAACAATGTTGCATTCGATCATGCCACTGCTGCTCGACCTTTGGAGACTTATGAGCTGTAGTGGAAGGGAGCTAACATGCTCTTAGAAGAGAAAAGCCGAATGGCGAAAAGGAATGGATTGGTTGGTATTTTTTATCATGAAAAGAATTTTTGTATGATTAGAATTTCTTACATATTTGCCAAGAAAAAAGAAGTTTTAGTTTTAAATGCAATTATGCAAAAAAAAAAAGAAAAGGGAAGAAGACATCTAAGGGAGACTAACCTATCTCTAACCTAATGTTATCATACAATGAGGGATCCTATCTAAGTTAGCATGACAAAGAAAGTCGAACAAACTATCCTATAGGGAACATGCACTGAGAGCGAAGTCGTGATCTCAATTTCTAAATTGAGTGACTCATCGATCAACAAGAAATAAAGGAAAGTAATAAAATCCTATAGGGAGCATGCACTGAGAGCGAATTCGTGATCTCAATTTCTAAATTGAGTGATCATCGATCAACAAGAAAGAAAACAAACACAAGCACAACACATATAAGAAATGAAGTGCGGAATGCCTGCTACAGGTCTTTAAACAACGACTTCGAGTGCATGCTCTTTATTTCCTACTTCTCATGATATCTAGAAAAGCGATAAATGCGGAAATATAACTTGGAAGTAGTGTAATACCAAACGAACAATGACGTCTACAAAAAGGGCAACCAAAGTAAAGAAATCCGAGATACTTCGCACGAGCTGGCATCAACAAACAAACAGTCAGAGTTCGAATATTTGGAATAAGTGTCGCAACTTCGTCGATGTGAAAATAAGTCACAATCGGAATCCAAAACACATCCGCATATCAAATAATGAACCTGCATAAGACTCAGCTCAACAAACAAAGATGAATCACAATTTTCAAGTAATCGAAAGATTATGAATTAATTTCCTAAAATCAAATAAAAAGCCTAAATTTTTTTATTGATTTTTGTAGTTTTTTATTATAAAAAAAATAAAGTTCTAAATTTTATTTATATTTTTTTGATAATTATTTTTTTATTATATGTATTTGTTTACCACTTTTATTAAAAAATGGAAGAAATTTAAACTAAAAGAAAAGTAAAAAAAAAACAAGAAATTAGAAAAGAGTTAGAGGGGTGGAAGTCTGATTTCAGGGGGTGCTGCAGTCTGGGCGCTAGGCCCAAGCTGACTAGGTCCAAAAGAATTTTTTTTTGTTATTGTTGCTGCACTTGATTTCCAAAAAAAGATTGAAACAGGCTTCAGCAAAAAGTTCAGCAAGCATTTTTTTAGTAGCTATTTTAGTCCAGCAACACGCATATTGGGCTTAACGGATCAACATTAACCCAACCATTATCTTCTCATCAGATTTTAATTTTTTATTAAAAAGAACATGAAACGAAATTAAAGGAGGATTAAAGTATGGTGAAATGATGTCGTTTAGTTGCTCTTAGGCTAGGGTTAAAGTTTGTGTCTCCTCATATTAGACGAACAAAAATGCTTTTCTTCTCTTTCGAACCCAAACGCCGCAGATCCCTCAATATTCTTCCTCCATTCACCGGAACCAGAAATCGCGAAGAGCCTCACCTTTATCCACGTACAACCTCCATGGACTCGATTTTCCCATCATCTCTTTCAGATCCTTACAGTAGCCTAAACCCTAACACTTACAAGAATTCGACTTAAACATTTAGCCTACACTAAATCGTGCAATCAGCGGAGGGCTCTGATTCAGCTTAGCGAGTTCTACATCATGGTGAAGAAAAAGCTTAAAAAGATGTAGAATGATGGATTTCCTAAGACTTACCAACCGGAGTAGCTCCGATGGCCCTTCAACGGTGATGAGGAACACCGAAACCCATAGATGACTTATTCGGATAATAACGACTCGTTCTCTCTTATCTACGCTTCGTGACCATATAACTCCTTCTTCCACTTTGTTTCTTCTTTGATTCTTCTTCTAAAATTTCTTGATCTTATGGTGATGTTGATCTTTACAGAGACGATACAATGAAGATTGCAGAAGCTTCAAGGTTCAATTGCAGAATTGACGAAATTTTGGTGTGTGCGTTGTTGTTTCAGAGGCGATGAAAGATTTTGGATGTTATTGGTGATGAAGTTGTTTATTTGGCGATGCCGCTCGAAGACGTGAATATTGGAGGTGATGTGACGATGATGATGGAGGATCTGAGATGCTAGGAATGATGATTATTGAAGGCTTGGTGAAGATGATGAAGGATTTGCAGAGTTGATGTGAGGATGATGAGAAGATGGTGCGGTTTTTGTTGGATGAAGGAGAGATAGCAGAGAGAGCTTTTAGGTTGGTATAGGCTTGGGAAGTTAGTTACAGATTGATATCCCTCAACCGTTGGATTGAAGTTTTCTTTTAAAGCAACTAAAGGTGAGGGTCCAATTCTCTGAAAGTTTGTTATTCTGAGTTTTGGTTATAAGTTTCTCATTTAATATTTTCTCCCTCCTTTCTGTTATAGAAATTTGAGTTAGTTATCTGGAGTTACGGATTTCCTAGGACAATTATAAAATGTCAGTAGAAATTTGAGATTTGTAGACATTCTGTTAGGGTAGTTACCGTTAGTCTTGAGGTGGAATTTGGTTGGGAATGAATTCTGTTATGCTCAGTTTGTTTTGAAGGTCAGAAACGGTTAGGTTGGTTAGATATGGTTAATGGGAGGTTAGAAAATTCTGTTAGAGTAATCTGTTAGTTGAAATTCTGTTAGAGTTCTGTTTGGATGTTGGAATTCGGTTGATTGTTTTATGAACTAAATTGTTTTCTTGGTTTGATATTTCAGGCATCATTTTTAATGTGATTCCCATAGCGACGAGTATTAGTCCACTTCCATATCATAGTCCGCGTGCTTGGTAGGGTCTGAAAGTATAACATATGCCTCTCCAATCATTTTGAAAAGTCTATCAGCATCCTTGTGCACCTCCTGGAAAATTTCTTTCCAGAAAATACCTTCATCCCCAACTTCACTTATTGCCAACAACTGACCAGCCTTGTCAGGATGATGTCTAAGAGCGGCCTTGTGATATGCCTTCTTGATATCAGCTGCTGTATCAGCTGGTTTAATACCTAAAATGAGATAAAAGTCTAAGGGGGTCCTCATTTTAGCTTGATATTCCACAATAAGTAGCCTTTGTTGAGCTTGCCTTGATTCTTTGCCACCAGTTGATCCATTTGAAGATTCAGAATTTTTGGCCTTTTCATTGGATTGAGATCCAAGAACAGAAATAAGTCTCCGGATATCACAAGCCGCTTGTTCATAATCTCTAACCATCTCATGCAAGGTGGCTCTTCTAGAAATTGCCTTTGCATAATTTCTATCAAGGGCCATAGCCATGCTGCAGTCTGCAATGGCATCAGCAATTTGGCCTGAAGCTTGATGTGCAGTAGCACGGTTGCCAAAACATATTGCTGCAAAAGGGCATGATTTAATATTACTAGATAAAGCAGCAGTGTAGTTCTCCACTGCTTCTGTATACTTTCCCAATTTGAAGTTCTCATTTCCTGCTTTCCTGTGATCTAGAAGTTCTTATATTGTAGCAGCTAGTGACAGCAAGTCTTCAGTGTTATCAATCATACACTTGTCATTGACAGATGCTATTTTCTGTAATTTTTCAATAATATTAAGTGATGCATCAAGCCTCCCCAAACGAAAGTAACACTTAAATATAAATGACCATCTCCATATTTTTACACTTAAGTAACTATCATCCATGGAATTGTTGAATGAAGAATATTGAATTCTTCTGAAGCCTTTACCTCTTGATCATCTGTGGATGCTTCCTGATTCTTGTAACTTGAGTGAATATTCGTAGTGAACATGGACTTGAATGAAATTGAATGTCTTTTATAATGAAATGATTAAGCGTTGAACATGATGAATAAGATGAAGATGGTTATGATGAATGAATGCCTTGCACTTGTACTTTGTTCCTTAAATTCCAAGAAGTCCAAATGCGTTCCCTTTCCAAACTCTGCAAATTCCCAACAACTTTGATGAATTGAACCAAATTTGAATTCATTGAATCTTTTAATTCCACTTTAACCTTAATCCAAATTAGCTCGCCTGACAAGCCACAAACAAATTGAGAGAACAATGCCTTGATTATGATTCACATCTTACACTTGAATGAATATCTCAAATTAATCTTCCAACCTTAATGAAGCCCTGTATTCAATTCAATTTTCCAATCTTAAGCAAACTTTCACGACAAGAAATCCATCCTCATCTCTTGCACCATAACTTGCATTTCGCATTCCAACTCCACTATATCTCGTCTTGACGAGTAACAAAATAGCCAATGCCTTGAATCCCTAGATAAAGGTAGGACTTGGAGCGTAGTAGGATACCCTGACATGAAACTCAATGAATTCCAGTTGTTGAACATCAACAAGCTCAAATATGATGAGTAGCAAACCCTAGTTCACCTGATTTTGATGAAATTAGCTGGATGAGCTCCTAACCCATAGCTTATCCAACGGTACATATCTAAACTTGATAAAACTCAAAGCAGTCTTTCAATAAGGGAAGAGTAGCGCTCAATGTAGCCTTGAAGTGAGACTTTAATCCAGTAAATATCCATAGAAGAATCACCACCAAGCTTAAAAAAAATGAAGAGAAGTCCTGATTCTCTGGCTGAGTTAGGCCCTAATACCTTTATTCCTTGAAAAAACTCTGATGAAGCAAAAGTTGTATCTTGAGGAAATCTGATAGCAGAGACATCTATGCTGCTTGAGATCCAAAACCCTAATCTCATGCCGAGAAAAATGAGAGGCGCCAGCTGAATCAACTTTGAGTAAGATAGCAAACTCCATTCAGAGAGAGAAACCCTAATGCCAAAGCACTTCGATCTTATAACCATGAGACCAATGCTATGAAACGTACAAAGTATGATGAGGGATCTTAGGGGCAAAAATTGGGGTACAACACCTAGGGCTCTAAGATCATATTTTTACTAGACCTATTTTGTGATTTTTGTTTTAATGTTAATAAAACATGAAAGCAAAAAATAAAAGAAATAAAAAAACAAAAAAAACAAGAAAATTAAAAGAGATTTTTTTGATGCAGGGAAGGGAATGATCCTTCGATCCTGGGAAAGAAATGATACTTTCAACCCAGGGAAAGAAAATGTCTTCTTCGATCCAGGGAAGGGAGTTATTCCTTTCGATCTGGGGGAGGAAAGGATTTCAATCTAGACCTGCAAGACAAACATTAGCAAAAAATATGACCTGGGTGTCGAACCCAGGTCCTTTCCCTTTACACGTGCCTGCCTTGCCATTTGAGTTGTTGTTTCAATCGAAATAAATGAAACTAATGCTAAATCCTGCAAGATTTGTTAGTTTCAAAACCAAACAAAAGCCTATCTCAATCGAAATCACCCCCTGAGTCCCAATTTGGGGTTGTTTTGATCTATGACGGTATGTGCCTTGGGTTTCGAAGGTAATCTATTTTGAAAACCTCTAGCCATGGTAACCTGCAATTTCAGCACTTAAGTTCTCATGTAAAACGCTAGACCTTTTCTAATCATTATCACAAACATATATGCATGCATTAAATGGATCAACAATACATATTTCAACAAGTTTGAATCAAAGAAATATACCAAACTGATTATTATTGCGGGGGTGTTTCTGGGATGTGTTGGGCTTGTGTGATGATTGAGGATGGATTCTGAGACCTTCAGGAGGAATATAGGATGCTGGTTTTGGATCGAAGGTGCCTACAAAAGGTGTTTTGGTTTTGACAACTTTGCTGAATTTTTGAGAACTTTCGTGGCTCTTTAAGGTAGCTTTCGATAGGCAATTCGTGCGTGTCCTTAGCTTGCAGATATGCTGGATATTTATAGGAGACGAGGAGGGAGTTTTAGCATGGAAAGAAATAACCTTAATTATGTCCTTTAAGAACAAAATCACACACTTTGAAAAATTGCCATAATTGCATATTCTTGCCTAATTTGCGTGTGTTATGAACCTGGACATGTGATGTTTGGCGCCTCGAACGAATTCAAATTGCTCAAAATTTCCTTCACCAGAGTGTCATTGATCAGTCCCTAAGTGCTACCTTCTTCGATTGCCTTTCTTTCAATTCAAACCAAATCGAAGCATCAACTCTCCCTTTCTGACTGGTCAAACGTTGCTTCAGCTCTTTATCAACCGAAGGCTTCGTAGATGCCTTCTCACTTTCCTTCAAATTGCTCCAGGCCTCATCATTGTGGCTTTCGATTGAGTCTCTATTTTCCTTGTTCTTTGATTGGCTCTAATACTACCCAACTAAACCAAACGAAAGACTTCATCCTGGCCAGTCGAAGCTTTCTTGAATATTTCTCTTTCGTTTTGACCAACTAGATCCAGTATTTGACCAAACCCTTTTTTCAGACAACACTATGTGTCCCTCGAATGGGCCTTCAAATGCTTATTCGAATGGATCATTTACATGTCCTTTGAATGGTCCTTTTGCCTGGTGTGCTGGAAAGTTGAGGGGTCTTGGCCTTGTGCATTGAAAGCAAGCACAAAGGAAGTCTTTTCCTTATGCATTGAAGGCAATCATAGAAGGAGCCTTTACCCTTGTGAATCAAAGGCCAGTTCAAGGAAGCCTTGGACTTAGTAAATCCAAGGCAAGCATGAAGAGGCCTTTTCCTAGTGAGTCGAAATAAACATACAGGAGGCCACTGCTAGTGAATCAAAGGGAACTTGAAGGGGGTTCTTGCCTAAATTAAACTTGGACCAAGGCTTTCTCGAAGGGGAACGAACGCGCAATCGAAGCTGATGGGCCAATGCTTGATCGAAGGGTTTTAGATGCCCAATTGAAGCTTGTTGACATACCAATTGAAGGACCCTTTACTCTGATATGCCAATTGAAGGACTTTGTTCATATGCCAATCAAAAGACACTGTTGACATGCCAATCGAAGGGCATTTGACATTCCAATCGAAGGACACTATTTAGATGCCAATCGAAAGACAGTTGACCATCCTTCAAAAAATTTCATTTTCTTTAGGAAAGTGTTTGTAATCACCCATATAAGAGAAAACCTTGGAAAACATGAGAGGGAAAATTTTGGGGTACAACAGCTGCCCCTGTTCAATCTTCTTAAACTTGAGGATTTAGATTGGCTTGTATGCCTTTCTGATCTGAAAGTGGAAGATGATTGAAAACTAGAGTGCCCAGAAATTTGCACTCGCTTGAAGTAACACTGATGGTTGATGATGGCGGGAATGGGCTTACATATGCCATTTGGAGAAGATGACTGAGAGTCATCGTAGATGAGCTTAAAGATTCCATCCAAAGTAGATGTTGACTTCATAAATGGTCCCTTTGTGGGGATTCCTGTTCCTGCTATCTGAGGAGGACTCTGTCGAGGAATTTGGGTTTTTGTTGTTCTCCTGTTTAGGGAAAACTATGTGGGGAATAGAGTCTAGGAACTTCAATTTTCCAAGGCTCTATTGAGGAATTATCTCTATACTGGAGAGATGAGAGTTTGTTGCTTTCTGGTTGAAATCTAGGTTTCACAGTAACTTGCTGGGGATAATGGAATTAACCGTTACCTGAAAATGTATTAGAAGGGGCCAGTGTAGGGATGTTCTAGGATGAGTCCGTGTTAGTCTGCATCTGGATGATGAGAAGGAACCCGTGTAAGATTGCTTCAGGATGAGTCCGTGTTAGATTGCATCTGGATGATAGGAAGGAACCCATGTAAGATTGCTTCATCTGATTATGTAGATAGTTTTCCTGGCTTGTTACAGGTATTAATCTATAGATCAGCTGTTCACATATAGTTGTCATGTCTGGTTTCAGGTATTAATCTGGAACTTGATAATTGTTGATCATTTGAGATAGTTGTCTTGTCTGGTTTCAGGTATTAATCTCTGACCTAAGAAAGAGAGATAGTTTTCCTGGCTTGTTACAGGTATTAATCTACAATCGGTCGTCCACAGATAGTTTTCCTGGCTTGTTACAAGTATTAATCAGGAACTCGCTTTTGTCGGTTGTTGAGATAGTTGTCCTAGATTGCTACAGGTATTAATCTCTGACCTGAGAAAGAATGATAGTTTTCCCGGCTTGTTACATGAATTAATCTCCAATCTCCTTATGTATATAGTTTTCCTAGCTTGTTACAGGTATTAATCTACAGTCGGTCGTCCACATATAGTTCTCTTGGCTTGTTATATGTATTAATCTGGAACTTGGCAACATTGATCACATAGATAGTTTCCTCGTCTAGTTTCGGGCATTAATCTGTGGCCTGCTGCATTTGTTGGTAAACCCGTCTTGTTCTGGGAGTTCATACCACTCGGTCGTGTAGATAGTTTCTCTGTCTGGTTTCAGGTATTAATCTTTTGACCTGCTATGCATAAGTTGATAGTATTCATTTGTCTGCGAATTCAGCCTGAAAAGGTAAAGTCAGTTTCATACGATGTCATGATGTATGAATTACATGATGCTCTCAAAATAAATGAGATTGTGATATGATGTTTGTAGAAATGATCTATGAATGCAATGTATGTCAGTTGTTTCATTGTTGTATTGTTGAATTAGGGAAAATAAATCCCTGACTGTTGCTGGGTGTGAAGAATGTAGGTCTTCAAATATGTTGAAGTTAAAATGCTAGGAGATGAACTTCCGTTGTTAGAGAAATAAACTCTGTTTGGGAAGGTAAACTCCGTGAACTGCTTGGGGATTTTGTTGAAATCCTGTTGGGGAATCCTGAGAAGCTTGGCAACTTCACTGAGGGATCTTTTGTTGGAGAAGTAACTTGGAGATTTTGCTCTTCCGAGGATGTGAAAACACCGGTCATCATTAGGCTGTATGATGTGGATATGGTAACGAATTTATAGTAGGATGCCCCTGCCCCTAAACCTGCTGGAGAAGGTATCTGCAGGAGAAAATATCTGCGAGGATTTTGTGGATGGCTCTTAGATATTGTCCCGTTTCTTAAAGTTATTAGTAACTGTCTTTCTGTTGTTTATGTGTATATTTGTGAGCAGTAATCACATTCAAATGCATATGTTCAAAAATAATCATTGGACGTTTTGCAGACAAAACAGAAAAATAAAAAACATATGTTTTGAACTTTCAAAGAGATAACTTTGTATTAACTTGAAGAAATGTTTATGTACAAGGAGACAGACATCCTAGTAGGATAATGTCGTTGTAAGAATGGAAACTATACAAAAATAGTATACAGAGAAAAATAGTTATGTGAAATAATCCTATTGGATTCCCATTCTGCTATTTCCTTTATGTCTGTGAGCGTCTCATCTCTTTCATTGCTTGTCCGAAGCTGACTGGATTGATTAGTACTACTTGAGCTCGATAGTTGATACTGAAGATTGGCTATACGGTGATCCGATGGGACATAGTTATACTCTTTAAATCCATAACTTTTGCTTGGACCGCCCTTTCGGGTTTTCAGTTCACCGGGATACCCTTTTTTGCCCAAGCCGCCTTTTCAGGTTTTCGACTTGCCGGGTGTACAGAGTTTTTTTTT